CGGATCTTGTAGATTTTGCATATTTTTTGCATATTTTTAACAGCCATTTTTGAGATCCAAAAAAAAAGTATTTCCTTGCATTCTTCTTTGATGGCAAGCTTTAAATCAAGCTGTTAGCGTAAAATCCTCAGCTGCTCTCCCGTGCGATTTCCCAGATATCCAGTGGCTTTTTGTGGGTTCGTCTTCGTTAGAAACTCAGTTATTTTTGATGTTTTAGGAAATTTTTTGAGGAATTCCGGACAGATATATGAGTTATGCACTGTTAACGTTATCACTATGTAAATGTACTTTAGGCGTTCAATGTTCCAGGATTCCAAGCTTTAGAAGTTTAATTTTTTACGCCAAGCTGTCTTGCTCGTCTCTTTGTTTGACCATATTTTCTCTGTGTTTGAACGCAGTTCCAAAATTAATTTTGTATGGCCAGGCGATTTTTTTGAAGCGCTTCTTTGCGACTTTCAGCAAAAACGACTTGCTCCTCAGTTATGTATTTTGCAGCACACTGCCTTAACTGAAAGGAGAAATTTGGAAAAAAGAAAGCAAAAAACTAATGAACTGTCATTCGGTTGTCGAGCTTTTTTGGAAATCAAAATTTTCCATTTCCTTAATTTATCTTTTAAAAAACAAAAAAGGCTTAAAATGAATAGTTTCTGACCGATCAAATTAATAAGTCTTGCCGAGCAGTGCTTTCTTCCCTACCTTTCTTCCCTAACTATTATTAGCTTGCTTATAATCAACCTCGACAAAGGAAGTCATCCGCAGCTTTGCCGACGAGTGGTTGCTGTTGGCATTTGCTACCAAACGAGCGACTTCCCGAGCACCACTATCTTTTTGTAGAGAGCAAATATGCAAAAGACTTTAATTTTGCTTGATTCTGGTTCATCTTAACTCACCATTTTGCTTTTGACGCCGTTCGCAGATGTTTTTTGCTCCCATTTTCCCATCATAAGACAAAAGATTTTCTCAGACTCTGCTAAATTCGCGCTATTTTTGCTGATTTTTTGCTTTCTTTTAGCTAATTCTATGCGAAGTGTTTCAAGTTTCATTTTTCCTCACACTCATTGTGATTTTAGAGCCTCTATAGTGCAAAAAAGGGCCATAGCCATTTCTCTCCTATCCTTTTCGGTGCATCATAGGTTCCCTTCCCGCCTTCTGAATTGTACATTCTTTCAAGCAAATGTAATTTCACACAAAAAGTGGAAACAATTTCTGTTGTCAGGAAGTCTGAGAGAGAAAGCTGCTGTAGGTATTTATGTCAAAAGGCGCCAAAATCTAATTTACAAAAGCCATTCTCTATAAATGTCGCAAACAAAACTGAATTCAATGTGCCACTGAATTAGCATAACCGGTCTACTGACAATATAAGACGAAAATGAAAGTGATGGGCCGATGGGTGGGAGGGAGGGAAAAGGATGAGGGTGGAAAGAGTAGCATGGAGGCAAATACATACATGCATGAGCATTCAGCAGAAACCCATCTTTCCGTTATTGTATCGCAGTCCGGATTTTTCCACCTAATAAAAATATCTGTTTGTTTGTCCGAAGAAAAAAATAACGATTTTCCACCCTCGGTCCTTAAATCCCGAAGAGTAGGCTGCGAGCCCTCAATTTTACTGAGAAGCACCTTCACACCGAGCACAGCTGTGCCAAATCCTTTGGACTGAAACATTCCTC